CTGGTTTTGATTGAAGGTAATCTGGCTTTGAATGAAAGTATGAACCATATCCTCCAAATTCCTCTTGTGAGGAGGTTGATATGTGGGAGGATTAGATAGTCCTTAGGAAAAGTTCTGTGGAGGTGGATTTTGGGAAAAATTTTGTGAGGGTGGGGTAGATGAATACCCTTGCGGATTAGTCCGGGGGTATTGGAATCTAGATGCTTGACCTTGGGATTGAAATTGATTTTGCCTAGGAGGCACGGGAGGTGTATATGCATTTGAACCATGAGGAGTGGGGTTATCATTTCTCCAACTAAAATTCAGGTGATTGCTCCAATCTGGATTGTAAGTGTTTGAATGTGGTGAGAATGATTGTCTCGTTTAGTTAAAAGTATTGACTTGCTCGTGATACACTTCCTTAAGTGCCAGAATGTTAGGGCACTCCAATATGAAATGATCTACACTCTCACAAATCGAGCAGCCCTCCTCAATCTTTGAAACATTTGACACCTTGTGTCTCCTATTTACCTCAAGACTCTCAACCTTCCTAGACAACTTGGCAATTTTGGAATCCCTCCCCCATGAATTTGGCTATTCCCTTAAGGAGAAGACCTTGGTAAATTGGTGGGATCCATAATGTCTCGTGATTGTGCATTCTGTGCTAATGTATCAAAGTAATTTAAGGCCTCATCGGGGTCTTTGTTCAAAAACTCTCCATTACACATCATGTCGATGCCCCGGTGTGATTCCTTTATAGAAGAAGCTCACCAATTGCCATGGTTCAAAGCCAAGGTGTGGAATGGATTAAAATAATTCCTTGTACCGAGATCCCANCCTCTAGAGTTCTCTTGGAATTGAGCGAGAAATTTTCCTTTCTCTTGTTGTGACGCCCCCATGGAGTTTGTCAATTTTGTGAGTTGGTCCTAATGTCATTAAAAGCTATGGCATTTTGATTGTTAATGGTGGTCTGGTTTTGATTGAAGGTAATCTGGCTTTGAATGAAAGTATGAACCATATCCTCCAAATTCCTCTTGTGAGGAGGTTGATATGTGGGAGGATTAGATAGTCCTTAGGAAAAGTTCTGTGGAGGTGGATTTTGGGAAAAATTTTGTGAGGGTGGGGTAGATGAATACCCTTGCGGATTAGTCCGGGGGTATTGGAATCTAGATGCTTGACCTTGGGATTGAAATTGATTTTGCCTAGGAGGCACGGGAGGTGTATATGCATTTGAACCATGAGGAGTGGGGTTATCATTTCTCCAACTAAAATTCAGGTGATTGCTCCAATCTGGATTGTAAGTGTTTGAATGTGGTGAGAATGATTGTCTCGTTTAGTTAAAAGTATTGACTTGCTCGTGATACACTTCCTTAAGTGCCAGAATGTTAGGGCACTCCAATATGAAATGATCTACACTCTCACAAATCGAGCAGCCCTCCTCAATCTTTGAAACATTTGACACCTTGTGTCTCCTATTTACCTCAAGACTCTCAACCTTCCTAGACAACTTGGCAATTTTGGAATCCCTCCCCCATGAATTTGGCTATTCCCTTAAGGAGAAGACCTTGGTAAATTGGTGGGATCCATAATGTCTCGTGATTGTGCATTCTGTGCTAATGTATCAAAGTAATTTAAGGCCTCATCGGGGTCTTTGTTCAAAAACTCTCCATTACACATCATGTCGATGCCCCGGTGTGATTCCTTTATAGAAGAAGCTCACCAATTGCCATGGTTCAAAGCCAAGGTGTGGAATGGATTAAAATAATTCCTTGTACCGAGATCCCAACATTAGTAGAATTACTCATCGGATTTCTCCAAAAAGTTTTAGATTTGTTTTTTTAGAACGGTGGTTTTATGCATCGGAAAAAATTTGTTTAAAAATTAGGAGAGAATTTGGTTCCAAGTTGTTATGGATCGAGGTATAAAGGAATTAAGTCATGTTTTTGCCTTATCTCTCAGGGAAAAGGGGAACAATTTCAGCCTAGTAATGTCTTCCATACCATGATTGGTGAGGAAGGTTGCACCTATTTCCTCGAATCTTTTATGTGCAAGCAGGGGTTCTCCTTCTCAATTCCGTGGAACGTGGGGAGTGGTTGCAACATCCCCGGTTTAACTAAGAAGAAATGAGCTTTGNGCTTGACCTTGGGATTGAAATTGATTTTGCCTAGGAGGCACGGGAGGTGTATATGCATTTGAACCATGAGGAGTGGGGTTATCATTTCTCCAACTAAAATTCAGGTGATTGCTCCAATCTGGATTGTAAGTGTTTGAATGTGGTGAGAATGATTGTCTCGTTTAGTTAAAAGCATTGACTTGCTCGTGATACACTTCCTTAAGTGCCAGAATGTTAGGGCACTCCAATATGAAATGATCTACACTCACACATATCGAGCAGCCCTCCTCAATCTTTGAAACATTTGACACCTTGTGTCTTCTATTTACCTCAAGACTCTCAATCTTCCTAGACAACTTGGCAATTTTGGAATCCCTCCCCCATGAATTTGGCTATTCCCTTAAGGAGAAGACCTTGGTAAATTGGTGGGATCCATAATATCTCGTGATTGTGCATTCTGTGCTAATGTATCAAAGTAATTTAAGGCCTCATCGGGGTCTTTGTTCAAAAACTCTCCATTACACATCATGTCGATGAACTGTCGATGCCCCGGTGTGATTCCTTTATAGAAGAAGCTCACCAATTGCCATGGTTCAAAGCCAAGGTGTGGAATGGATTAAAATAATTCCTTGTACCGAGATCCCAACATTAGTAGAATTACTCATCGGATTTCTCCAAAAAGTTTTAGATTTGTTTTTTTAGAACGGTGGTTTTATGCATCGGAAAAAATTTGTTTAAAAATTAGGAGAGAATTTGGTTCCAAGTTGTTATGGATCGAGGTATAAAGGAATTAAGTCATGTTTTTGCCTTATCTCTCAGGGAAAAGGGGAACAATTTCAGCCTAGTAATGTCTTCCATACCATGATTGGTGAGGAAGGTTGCACCTATTTCCTCGAATCTTTTATGTGCAAGCAGGGGTTCTCCTTCTCAATTCCGTGGAACGTGGGGAGTGGTTGCAACATCCCCGGTTTAACTAAGAAGAAATGAGCTTTGACCAGAAGGAGGATGCATGAGGGTGTGGTACTTCGTGTGGGTTGAAGGAAATCCCTCATTGACCTCATCGAAGGCTCAATGTGGATGTTATTCCCTTCATTCACAGGAGGGAAAAATTACATTTTCGAATTGCGCATTCTAGGTTCTTGTCCTCCCCCACCCCATTGCATGTTTGGATTGACACTTGCATTCTCAAAATTATCACTCGCGTTCCTGGGTGGGTCTTGATCAATGTTCATATTGGGGCCCAAGGGTTGTCTAACTAGTCGGTTTTGTTTGTCCCTTCCGCACATATAACAAACTAACTAAAAATAAAGAGTGTAAACAAACAAAAGTATATACAAGGATCAACGCCATCACAGGACTTACCTCCATTGTCCGGAAATCACCTTCTTGATTCAACGCTTGCCTTCTTCGGTAACGGCGCCAAAAATGCTTGTTTGTTTTTATTATAGTATATCCTAACCTCCGAACATCATCCCTCCACACATAAACTATACGTATTGAGGGATAATGTTCAAAGGTTAGGATATACTACAACGGAAACAAATAAGCAACTAGTATTAAAAGTCATCTGTTAGCAAAGCACCCACAATGCAGCAAACTTTTCTAATTTGATTCCTAGCAGCTTGAAAATGATGTGTGTGTGTTTCGAGGAAGAAGACCGGCGAAGGTAGGGGTTTGACAAAGAGAGGTGATTGGAGGGTAGTAGGAGTGGAGTCCAGCAGAGTTTGGTTGGCTCCGAAGGTGTAATTGTCGAGTAGGGGATTTGTAAGGGTAAGGGAGGGAGAGAGAAAAGAGCGTGGTTAGTGGGGGAGTAGAAGGGTAGGGGTTTGGTTACTATGGGACGAAGAAAAGGAGAGGCAGGAGGTTGCAGATGGGGGAGGGGAAGTAGGTTGCCACCCCCAATCAATGTTTCTCTCATTTTGTGTGTTATATTTTCACTAATTTTGATAAAGGACAAATAAGTCCCTATGCAAGATCAAAATTTCGTTTTAAAACAATTGAAACGTTTCCATTTGCAAAGAGACCAAAACGAATCAGTGATGAAATCAAAATTCTAATATTTCAAAATGTTTCATAATGTTTTGAGGTATTTTGTAATGTTTCAATGCATTTACACAATTATTTCGGAATGTTTCAATATATTTTGATATATTTCGACCAATGTTTTGGAAAAATAATTTTTAAATTTTTTATTTTTTTCATTTCATTTCTGAAACAGATCGAAACATGCCAAAACGTTTCCGTTTCCTAGGTAACTGAAACAATGCACTGAAACGAAATTTTGATCCTTGTCCCTATGTCATTTCGAAAATATCATGGGATCATCGTGTTGTTTTAAAATAACTCGAGGGTTTTGAGGGTAGTAATTTACCCCATATTATACCTTAAATCCTGAGGAAAGTAGACAAGTAGCTACGGACGTCCATAAAAGTAGTTGTAAAAAAGACTGATCAAGTCACACATTATTAAAAACTTGTTTTTATTTTTAATTGGTAATATGTTCATAATGACATCTACACTATATATTATTACGAACAAATTAGTTAGGAGAGGCATTGGGATTCCTTCCCTCCTCATTCTCTTCTTTTCTAGAATTTTTGTTTATTTACTTACAAAACAAGATTTTATCAAGTCATTTTCTTCCACATATCCCATGTAACCACCCATTCAACCCCACTAATTAACTACCATTTATTTTGCTTTTCTAAACTCCACGCCACTAATTAACTCTCACTTATTTATTTTTTTTAAAAAAAATTATTTGTATCACCTTATAATTTACAGTAACTATTATCCAATATCTCAAATGATGGGATAAAAAAGTTTAGAACGTTTGGAAAAATTATAAATTTCGTGCATCACAATGGATCGACACTAGTTCTAAATTAAACAAATGAAAAAAGCAGGTCTAGCAGGTGTACTTTGGAGCAAACATTATAATCTTGCCAAAGGGATGGGTAGGCTTCTTGAAGTTGGACACCTTAAACTCCAAACCACCTACAATAACCACCTATTGACAAGTATTGGAAAGGAAAATAAAAATCGCCAAGAATAATACAGCTAGTTGCCTAGTACAGTTGGTATAAAAAAGTCATAGTCACTAAATACGCAATACGTTTGGAACACAAACTGGCCCTCCTTTTAAAGTTTCTGCCTTTAAATATATACAAAAAGACAAGTCAAGAGTTTGAGAATGGTAGAGAAAGCAAATAGATGTTGAAGGCTGTTAGAACACTATGCAAGTTCAAAATTGAGGATTTTCTGTCTCACCAGATAACGATTCGATTCAGCATGCATACATTGCATATTGTACATGGTAAGAAGGTTGCTGAAGAGGATATTGCATACCTAGCCACCATTGTACCGACTCCATCTCTTTGAAACAATTCCTTCAATAAAACTCCGCCAATAGTTCCATCTAATAGGTGAACTCTCTGAACCCCTCCCTGATGGAAAAGCAAAATAATGGAAAAGGTTGTTAAATACTTAACATAAAATGCATCACAGGAATCAATAAAAGATTGTTAAATGGAAAAGGTTGTTAAATACTTAACATAAAAAGCATCATAGGAATCAATAAAAGAACACTTGAGGGTATTTCCTAGGGCCTGACAAAACCTCTCCCAAGTAAATTTGATCAATGTTGAGTTTACAAATAACCTCTTCCTTCCTTTTCGTTTTTTCAGGATTAGTAAAACATATATACCGAAGATGTAAAATGAACTTGAACTCCGCTGTCCGCACCATCCTTTTCGGGATGGCAGGACGTACCATTCAAAGCTATCAGTTGGTGGAGTTGAGAAACTCAAAAATGAATAATTGATTCAGTCTTTCAATATGAAACAATGGAAATATGATGTCATCATTTAGAAGCAGAAATCATCTTAGAACGCAAGGAGGGAACCAAAACATGCTTCTAACCAGCATCACCATTTGCAATTGTTCAGTATTTCTATGACAAACTACATTCAGAATCAAATGCTTAAAATAAACAGAGTTAGACCAGCTACCAATGTCTTTCTGAACCTCACCCTTTGGCTGTTGCACACTCTATGTCGTTTGACATATTTCACAACAGAGAAGAGCCTAACAATCTATCACTGGCCTGACATGAAAAGCTTATATAAAATAATTTTAGACCTTCATTCTACTGAAAGATTGAAGTTTGGAGGTTTAACAAGAGGCATTTTTGCTGATCAGCCAATCATGAATAAGACTTGGAGCCAAATATCAAAGCTATTAGTTTAGCATATTTTCACTGTTGACACCAAATTTTGCTAAAAACATATAGCAGCAAATACAACTCAGATGTAGGTGTGACCGATGTTACACGAATCATTTTTACCAGCAGTTGAAAGAAGTGAAACAATAAGGAACATCATAGGCAAAACCACAACTCTCTTTAGCTTGCATTACATATTGCACCTCCTTACCAATGATTTGAATATATGAAGAACGAATATGACACATTCACAGCATCAAGAAATAACATACAAAAAGTCAATGATGCTTATTATTATAAGATTAATAATGTGTTTTTGGTTAGGTTGATCAAGTATAATGGGCGACCTGATAAGGTGTGTCTATTGATACAACTGTGGACTTACTCTGCAAACAAAGGCGGCAGCAGCCAATTCTGAGGTGTAACCATTCAATCGGCTCAGCCTCTCTTGACCTCCAATGGCAAAACCTTGTTCACTAGACCATAGTCCATTCCCATTGTCAAAACCAACACCATTCTGAAACTTTACAGTATATCTACCTCTAAAACCATTCCCATTCACTGGAGAAGGGACAGTTCCATTGGTATCTTTGTGTTCAAGACAAGTAAGATCATCCCGAGCAACAGCTTTCACATAGTTAGCGGCTATATCGCTTTCCTCAGCTCGCTTGCGAATCCACAAGTCGGCCTCTTGGAGAGGCAAAAAACGAATAAGACGCCCACACTCATCCTGAATAGGGCCATCTATAATGCAGATAAGCTTCTCTGCTCCCAGAGCCAATGCACAAGCTGTAGCAACTTCATATGTGCTGCAATAAAGAGAAGCATGAGACATTCAGAAATTGTCAATGGATTATACGTCACAGCATCATAAGACTATCAAAAGCAGTCTCATCTAATCGATTTACAAATGGTTAGAATGCATTGTATATACAAGTATACAACGTCTGTATATGACTACAATACCATGCTATACCATAGGCATAATTACATCCCATCACCAATGCAGAGTACATTAACGGTACAAGAGGGAACCAAGGGATGATGCATTGCATTTATGATTGTTAGACGCATGACTCTGGAATAATTGATAAGAACCAATTATTGCCTTCTCCTCATTCAGACTTGCTTAAGGGTTGAGAGTTGACACCAGAGTATATACAAGAAGAATTTTTTTTCTTATGACAATGTACCGTGCTGATTACAAGAAGTAGCACAGTGTTATTCAAAGATTTCAATCTAACCTATTAAATTATCAACTCTTCATGTACCAATGTTCTCACTGCTGCCTACTAATTTGTCCACATTTTTTTTTGATGTTCACCTATTTTTCTGCCTTCACCTTTATGATCAGACTGAAGCACTACTTACCTCGTCAGTCTTAATTTTAGCAAAAACTGCCCCTACAAGGATACTTAGGCAATGTATCTAATCTAATTATGTATGTGGCACAGTTATAAGAAATCCAAAATGGATTACAGCTGAAAAACAAAGCAAACAAATGAAGGGGAAACCAAGCATGGATTTTGGAATAAAAAGAAAAAAACTCTAATAGATAAGAAGTAGAGCTGTTCTGAGAAACACCCTATATAATTCTGCCTAAACATCATATGCTAGAGCAGAGGGGAAAATTGAAGCAAAAACTTAATGTACAATCAGATCATGCCAAGCAGTAACAAAGATACCTATTAAAAGCCATATAGCATACTTGCAATTTAATACTTCTCCAGAGCTGGAATAAGCTAGATTGCTTAAGATCACAATGCACTCCTGATCAAGCCTCTGATGAATGCGAGATACATCTATTTTCTTCACTTCGCCTGTTGCTCCATAATCAATGCCTTCAACAACTCCTCTTCTCTGCCAAAAAAAATATGTCAAACTCACGGCAAAACCAAAATGAAAAACAAATAAACCATGCATACCGAGCGATAAGTTTCAGAAGGCCATTGATCATACCAAAACAAGGCAACAAAATAAAATATTAAACAAAAAGGATACATGCCGAGTTTGCAATAAAACTATGCTCACCTTAGCTGCAAGAAAATTACCACTAGCAACACTGACACCATCATGCCAACGACTATTGTCGCCATGACGACGGACGCCACTTAAGGAGGGTCCAGGAGATAGCTTTGCCTCTATCATTATACGAATCCTCCCAGCTGCGTCCATTGATGCCTCGAGAGAATTAGAGTCTGTAATTCTGTATCGACCAACATACTTGGGCTCACTTCCTGGAAGAAAAATGCATCAGTTTCCCAGCTATTTGACAATATGATGAATTATGAATTAGCCCAAAGGAAACTGTAACTATCGTGAAATTAGACAGAATACATTGTCAAAGTGTTAGGCCTAAGAATAATAAGGAAAAAAAGGCTGTCTACACGCAAAATAGGCAGGGTCACTACATATTATGTATAGCTACTGGGAAACACATTGCCATTCTAACGAGTTACTGAATCAATATGTTTTCTTATCCCAAATTGTTTTAAAGGTTATTACCAGATATAATTAAATTAGAGAACATTCATGTATTAAGGATGAAGTTGGAAGGTCCATAATTAAAATCTTATAGTTTTAGTTCTCTTCTGGTCTGAAAGCTGTGTCTTTGACCATCATGTGAATAAGGTGCAAAATGGTAGGTCAATATGGACCCCAACATCCAATCCACCCTGATGAAACATCCAACTTTCTTAGTCAAAGCAACAAGGCGGCAAAAAAAGTCCTACAACCTCTATCATCACTACAGAATAGTAAGCCTATTTAACATATGGACACCAAACATCCAATCCACCTTGATGAAGCATCGAACTACTTAGTCAAAGCAACCAGAAGGCAAAACCAGTCACACAACCTCAATATCATCACTACATATGACAGTAAGCCTATATAACATCTTGGGCCTCTCAGGCCATAATAATCATTTGTATATGAAGGAAAGTACCCTAAAAAAATAAAAATAATATACTGCCAAAAAATCAAAATGAAGCAATAAAATCACAAGCAAACAAAAAAAAGTTTGGCGTTGCGCTTTATGTGAGACTTTGTTGGGTGGCACCGGTACCATGTCATCTATGATATGTTTGGATGTTATGGGTCATAGGGAAAGAGAAGAATGAAGACCAATTGGTGTTGTGCTTTTTTTGCTACTATTTAGGTCATTTGGTTGGTGAGAAACACAAGAATCTTGGACAAAAAATGTGAGGAGGTTGAACTGTTATGGCTTCCTTCTGTTCTTTAGACACTAAAGAGTTCAAGAATGTTCCTCTTTTTTGCACTATGGCAAGTTGGACAGCTTCTTGCAGAATGTAGTATTATATGACTTTGTTTTGCCCGTCATACGACTTGTCCACCTTCGGTTGGTTTTTGTAACTCCTTTTATCTTATTCTATTAATAAAATTGATGTTTCCTATAAAAAATAAAATAAAAAGTTACGGCAGAGCTGAAAGAAAACAAGACATTGAAACACAAAGCAACCATATTTTAATTACCTCTCTCAGCTAAAAGCTTGTCAATTTGCACATGGGTTCCCGGAACTATAACAAATTTGATCCCCAATCCATGGAGAAGAGAGATATCCTGCAGTTCAAAAACAATCAAGTCGGTGACACACATGCAAAAAGACTTTCACACGAAACTTAGAGAACTAAAAGAGATACATACAGATACACAGAAAAAAATTGAGAATTCCCTCAAATCAATGCAACCAACTCCCAAAGAAGCTCTTACCCCAACAAAAAAAACCTTCCAAAGATGCAACAATTTAAGGAATTGGGTTAATTGTGCTACAGGTCCCCAAAATATGAGGTTTGTCTCATTTTAGTCCCCAATTTTTCAATTGCATCATTTTAATCCATGAACTATTGCTAATAATTTTTTATCATAAATTTGTCAAGTAATACCTAAATATTGACAAAAAATAATTTTGATAGCTCTTAAACAAAATTTAAGTAGCTCTTGACAAAAAATGTGTAATATTAGTATCTTTTAACCAAAATTTGGATAGCTTACAATCAAAACTGTGTCATTTAGATAGTTATTTAACTAAAATTTGAGTAAAAATTTGGTCAAGAGTTATCCAAATTATTTTTTTATCCATATTTAAGTATCATGTGATATGTTTATGATAAAAATTGTTAGCTATCTGAACGTTGTCTACTTGAAGGACCATATAAAAATATATTCAACATTTCAGGGACAAATGATGCAATTGAAATATTAGAAACCAAAATAAGATAAACTTCATAAGGAATAATATGCCAAAATACACCATCATAATTTATTTACAATGACATACACAATCCACTATTCATATAAATCTAGCATATATTATGCATGTGGAAACAAAAGGGAAAGAATTGAAACTTGCCATGAGAATGGGATCCAAATGAGGACTATCAACAATTTCAGCAGAAATTAGAACAACAAATGTACTGCCTCTGTGGGCACGAAAGTACGGCCAAGATTCACGGAAAAACTGCACAAATTGATCATCTTTCACAGCATTACTGGCTTCAGTGATGTCGGTCCTCTCTGTTTCCCCCAAAATACAATTACACCTCCCTCTAATCTTCTTTCCAGACTTACCCGCCACAGGCGAAAGATTTATTGCATTGAACCCACCAAATCTCTCCCCAATTCCTTTTGGACGCTCCCAAATAGTGGTCGGTATAGGAAATTGTCGGGTGTGGGTTTGAAGAGGAATGCAAGGGCTTAGAAGCGAAGTAGCCATACAGGTTGAGACTTGAGATTGGAATTAAGCAACCCTAATTTTATAAAACTAGAAGCCCTTTATAGAGGTGTGGTGGTTGTGGCGGCGACGGCGAGGTCGGCGGCGGTTTAGAAAGTTCATAGCACGCAGTTGTTGAACTTGAAAGGTTTTGGAGGTGGACCAAGCGCGAAACTAACTAGTTCTGAGGCGGAGTGTTTGTCTACAGAATTATGTTGTTTATATCCGAGGTTGGGATAGCATTGTGATTTCCAATTAAACTCTGTCCTGATTTTATTCGGTTTCTCAATGGACAATAGGCATATCAACATATCGATTTGGATTAGTATCCTTCTCTTTAAAAGTGATAATACTATTTGAACCTATAAGTTTAATCTAATTTGTTAACTTAATAATTTAATTTTATTAGAATCATTAAATCAGCACTAATTGACATTTCTTTTTCAATTTCTTTTCCTAATTGACATCATGCAACCATAACCGTTAGATGATAGTGTGGCACAGTAATCCAATGGTCCATATAGGTTGGTGAAAATTGTTAAACAAAATTGAAAGAAATAGCGTCGCCCTTGACACATTTAAGAACACTAAGAAGTTAGAAATTAGGGCAATATTATTGGGATCAAATTTATTGACTTAATTTGTTGATCTAAGTCGTTATGGTCTTTGAATTGATTGTTGGTCTTATCAAACATTAAAATTTGGTATTAATCAAATAATTTTACTAAAGTTACATCATTAAATCAATAAAATTATGTAATGTCTAAATAACATTACCCTAACATAAAGTGCTGCATGTGCCCCTCAAAAAGATTTCTTTTTCAATTAAAAAAAACTCAAGTTTTAAGCCAACTTCAAATAAATCAAATATCATAGGAGTTACAAGAGTTAGTGACATCAAAAATTATGTATGCAACCTATTATACATAGAATGTGAATTCTATCGTGCTTTAAATATTAATTATTGTCAGAATTATACTCAAATCTCTTAAAATTTGTCATTTAATCACTCAGATCTCCTAATATTTGAAATATTATATACAGACTCTTTGTGGTTTGTACATGAGCAACAATTAGACTCTTACTGTCAATGTTCATTAGTATATCCGTTAATAAATTATATTCAGACCCCCTAAAATTTATAGGCATATAATACTTAGACCCCTCATTTTAAAATGTTATACTTAGACCACAAAAACTTCAATCAAGTGTAGAATATTAAATATTTTAAATTTTACAATCAAAATTTATGTTCTATTGTACCATTTATTAAAAAATTTTAATTTTTTCTTTAAAAAATCGTATTAGTATATAATTAGACTATATATTTGAATAAAACTAAAAAATTAAATAAGGGATATAAGTCATTCATAATAGAAAATGAATTTTACAATCAAAATTCATGTTCTATTATATCATTTATTAAAATAAAATTTTAATTTTTTTTTTGAAAAAATCATAATTAGTATACAATTATATTATCTATTAGAATAAAACTAAAAAATAAATAAAGGGTTCAACTGTAATAGACACAATATCTTTTAGCTTTAATTGGAGTAATTTGATAGTTTAATTTGGTCATTTAAACGACCAAATTAAATTGCAATAGATAGTATAATTATATGTTAATTATGAATTTTTTTAAGAAAAAAAATAAATTTTTATTTTTAATTTTATTTCAATAAATGTCATAATAAGACATGATTTTTGATTCTAAAATTTAAAATATTTGATATTTTATTAGAGTATTTTTGGTCTAAATATAATATTTAAAACTTAAGAAGTCTAAGTGTTACACGCTTACAAACTTCAAAGGGTCTAAGTATAATTTATTAACGAATATACTAACGGACGTTGACGGCAATGATCTAAGTGTTATGCGCCTACAAATTTCAGGAAAGTTGTGTGTGAAGGGATTTAACCTCATGATTACACGTGATATGGTATTAAATATGCTCACGTGATGCTGACAAGACAAAGCACGTGATGAATAATGTTTTATTAAGCTTTTTAACCAAGCTGAGCTAATTAGAGGTTTCGGTAATGAAAAAAAAGTTTGTTTCTCTTTATGACCGAACTCATCAGATCAGCTAAGTAAAGAAATAGCTCGGCTTGTACCAAGCTGAGTCCGTTAAAGTGTTCGGGAAGGAGATAGAAGAAAATGGTTTGTACCAAACCAAGTCCCTAAAATTGTTCGGTAAATATCAAATGTGCTCAACGTATAACAAATCCAAGTTGTTCAAAATGATAGATGGAAAGATAAAAATTTGCCTATAACTTAGGCAATCAGATAAACGGATCAACGAAATTGTAAATATCAGGAGGAATTGCTGGATAAATATCAGCAACGTCCCAAACTGAATTATTGAATCTAAGGAAGATGTGTCATCTTGAATCAAGAATCACGGGAACCCTAAGGAGATGACCATCTATAAAAAGCAAAAAGAGCCAAGAAGAAAGGTACACTGAACTCTTCTGATCTTGGTGCAATTCTTTTTGTTCCATTACTAACTTAAGCATCGAAGTGCCTTCAATCGAAACATTTCGATCATGGACAGTTTGTTCGTTTTGCAGATAAAAGATTAGGAGATTGTTCAGACTTCTTTTCCAGAAATCATATCATGAATTTACGTGTAGAGGTATTACCAATTTTTTGCCTATACACTGTGTATAATATTTCAAATGTCGTAGAATCTAAATAATTAAGTGATAAACCTGAATGTGTATAATTTTCCTTTAATTCTTTTGATGTTAATCTCATCCTCTATTTTCATTGTATTTCTAATCCTCTTGCTTGTGGCACACGAGGGCTATTTTCTAACTGGAGTATTATTGGAGCAATTCCAACAATATCCAACAAAAAACAATAGAAAAATTAAACTTGACTTTCTTTTGTTTTCTTCTTATTTTCCCATCTTTATGTCTCTACTCCCATCAATTAGGGAAAATTAAATTCGTTTACCAATTTATTTTCCGGACCAGTTTTTATTATTTATTTTTTGGAATTTTCCCTCCTCTCCTCTATACTCTCTCCCTCCTAAGCACGCTGCTTATTATCGCTTTTCTCTTTGAAGCCTTCTCTCTACCAATACCTAACACACCAAGAGAGAGAGAGAGAGAGAGAGAGAGAGAGGGGGGGGGGTACCTCGAGTATGGAACCCAAGAAAGGACTGNATGACCATCTATAAAAAGCAAAAAGAGCCAAGAAGAAAGGTACAGTGAACTCTTATGATCTTGGTGCAATTCTTTTTGTTTCATTACTGACTTTAAGCATTGAAGTGCCTTCAATCGAAGCATTTCGATCATGGACAATTTGTTCGTTTTGCAGACAAAAGATTAGGAGATTGTTCATACTTCTTTTCCAGAAATCATATCATGAATTTACGTGTAGAGGTATTACCAATTTTTTGCCTCTACAGTGTATAATATTTCAAATGTCGTAGAATCTAAATGATTAAGTGATAAACCTGAATGTGTATAATTTTCCTTTAATTCTTTTGATGTTAATCTCATCCTCTATTTTCATTGTATTTCTAATCCTCTTGCTTGTGGCACACGAGGGCTATTTTCTAACTGGAGTATTATTGGAGCAATTCCAACAATATCCAACAAAAAACAATAGAAAAATTAAACTTGACTTTCTTTTGTTTTCTTCTTATTTTCCCATCTTTATGTCTCTACTCCCATCAATTAGGGAAAATTAAATTCGTTTACCAATTTATTTTCCGGACCAGTTTTTATTATTTATTTTTTGGAATTTTCCCTCCTCTCCTCTATACTCTCTCCCTCCTAAGCACGCTGCTTATTATCGTTTTTCTCTTTGAAGCCTTCTCTCTACCAATACCTAACACACGAAGAGAGAGAGAGAGAGAGAGAGAGAGAGAGAGAGAGAGGGGGGGGTACCTCGAGTATGGAACCCAAGAAAGGACTGTCAACAATTTCTGCGGATAATATGAGGACGAATGTATTGCCTTTATGTGCCTGAAAATATGGACGAGCTTCTCTCATTATCTTCACAAACTCCTCAGTCTCAGACATCCAATTCCATCCATTCCCAAAATCACCATTTTTGCAACACCTCAGAAACAACCTTTTCCTCTCACTTATCCCCACTCCCAAACACTCTACTTTTCTCATCAAATCAAAACTCTTCCTCCTACTAAGATCTGTTTGGATCCATATATTGCAATATGGGGCCAAAGCTTCACCATGGTGTTGCTGAGAAAACCATGGCATTGGTTTCAAGTTTGTAGCCATTAATGTACAAACCTCGAAAGTCCCACAAACCATGGCACAGAACGATGGGTAAAAGAGAAAATGATCATTTTTTAAGGCCAAGTAGTCTTTATATCTTATGCTACTATGTACACTCTTAAAAGAGAAAGAAAAATATTTTTTATAACAGTGATACAACATCATTGTTTATATTTGTTAAGCACTAATCAAGTATAAAAAAAATTCTTGTATGGATTAAATAAATCTCACTATTTCAATAACTACTCGTAACCACCACGTTGAATAACTTTATGTTAGAATAGAGAGGTTTACTTATTTTATGTAATATTTTACTATTATACAGTGATACCTCGTGCCAATTTGAAGACATTGCATTACCAATACTTGGGATTGTATTGAACCTGGGAAGAAAATTCCAAGTATGTAAGAAAATTCCANTCATTGTATTTCTAATCCTCTTGCTTGTGGCACACGAGGGCTATTTTCTAACTGGAGTATTATTGGAGCAATTCCAACAATATCCAACAAAAAACAATAGAAAAATTAAACTTGACTTTCTTTTGTTTTCTTCTTATTTTCCCATCTTTATGTCTCTACTCCCATCAATTAGGGAAAATTAAATTCGTTTACCAATTTATTTTCCGGACCAGTTTTTATTATTTATTTTTTGGAATTTTCCCTCCTCTCCTCTATACTCTCTCCCTCCTAAGCACGCTGCTTATTATCGTTTTTCTCTTTGAAGCCTTCTCTCTACCAATACCTAACACACGAAGAGAGAGAGAGAGAGAGAGAGAGAGAGAGAGAGAGAGGGGGGGGTACCTCGAGTATGGAACCCAAGAAAGGACTGTCAACAATTTCTGCGGATAATATGAGGACGAATGTATTGCCTTTATGTGCCTGAAAATATGGACGAGCTTC